AGCAGGTTCTGATCGCCGACTTTTCGCAGTCTGCCTCAGTCACCCAACAGCCTGCGCGGCCCTTGGTAACGCGGGCGACGACCGAGCCGGTATAGTTTTCTAAGGCGTCAATACCATGAGTGGCAGGTGGCTGAATTTTACGCAGACTTGTCACGGTCTCCAACCCTCCTCCTTTCTTATCCGGGTTGGGAGCGGCCATGTCGGAGTTGTAAATGATTACGTACGTTAAAATTTGAATATTTGTCAGTGTTTATGATAGACTTTATTTTATAGTAATTAACAGGGTTGTTTCTCAAGATATCAAGAAAAAATAGACTTGAATTAACTTCTCAGTAACGAAACAAAACCCAGATGTTCTGGCAGAGCTTTCGATTCCGCCGCTGAACATGATATTAAAAACATAATGATACCGGATTTAAACGGTGAAAATGCATAGTGTAAAGAAAGTAAAATCTGTTTCTCACTTTACACCAGCAGCTCTCTTGCACCGCCCTCTTTTTTCTATGGGGACCATTTAAGGAGGCCACGCCTCCGTGGTAACTGAGCGCTTGCAACGCACAAGACGCAGGACCGCGTCCAAAACATGGGTTGGACACAAGATGTTCAATGAAAGAAGATTGCCATGAACCCTAGACGAATGAGTGATAAAGTAGAACCCCGATGCTCTGGGAGAGCCTTACTGAAGAACATCAAGATTATATTTTGTCAATCGTTGTCCAACGGATCGAGGCAATCTTGGTAGAATATACTTTTAGTGCTATTTTATAGAGTTAGCTGAGAGATCACATATTATACGTTTGTAAGCAAATTTTCTTTAGAGGATGTTTACCGATAACTTTAGTAGTAAACAAGTCTCTTAAATCATAACTGACTATTTTCATTTTAATACCAAAATGCTTTCTCAACTCTGGACTTATTTCACGAACTGCTACAAATTGAGTCGATAAGTCGACGTGAATAATCGTTTTGCAATGTTGTGATTCATTGAATATTCTCAATAGGTAAACGTCATAACGATTATTCAAACATTTTACCACAATGCATAAAAGTCAGCAAAAATGACCAATCTGACATACCTCTAATGATAGAAAGAAACTATTGAGTCTAAGTAGCTGCTACTGTTATGCAGATTGTTGTTTTCTTTGTGGTTTTGGAACATTTGCTTAACACACCGCAGAAATCTACAGCTTCGTGTAGTCTCATAACTGGCAGATACGAAACTTTCCATATAATTTATGAAACTGGCATATACAGGCGAAAGTCCACGCTGTTTCTTTGTTCGATGGATTTGAGCCTTAGAGATGCTTCTGCTGGCACTGAACTACCATGTACCATTCCCAGATGTTTTCTTCTTACTTTCGCACTTCATACTTGGAGTTTTTAACCGTTGGTAGTACGTCAAATAATCCAGCAGCTCTAGCAGTTACAAATGCCGCATCTGGTAAGCCAATTGTGACAGTAGATCATTTTGACTTTTTGATTACTGAACCATTATTAGCCTATACGTTTGTTACGTAAAAAAATATGGTAATTTCTAAATTCCACGCTCCAATTCAAATTTCTTGTCGAGATCACAATTTGGAACTGTGTTTTCTGTCTGGAATTTCCCAATCACAGTGAGGTAGGTACTGAAGAAAGCGTTGTGCAGATTGTGAACATGTCTTGGCTAAGATCTGAGCTGATATTACTATACAACTTGCCACTGATTATGTTTAAAGTGTTTCGCAGTTTTGTCTCGGTAAACATTAGATGAGGTTATTGACTGTCTGATATTCACTGGAATTTACCATCTCGTTTTCAATTCCCTCACATACTTGACAAGATCTCCTCTAGTTTTCAGAGATCCGGAGTTTCTCACGTGGCTGTTCCCTTTATAAATGATATTCCCAGCAGCATCACCATAATGACTGCCATAAAGTTTAGTTCGTCTATACCAATGCCCTAGATCACAATGTGTGATCTTTGCCGATTTTTACATCTGTGGATTAAGATAGTCAGTGAAAACATAGGGTGTGTAACAACGTTTTTAACTGGTCAGCGACAGTCAGTTAAAGAAGCAGTTTTAATCACTCATGGCGGAGGGAACTTTCTGCATTCCATAAGTCGTTCGGTAGAAACTCTGTTTTTGGTCAGGGAAGAACATCAAGCTGCCTGGCTTTGATGTCTCCAGAGCGAGAGCTATCCATCCTTTCTCCAGTTCGAGCCATAACTGTCTCATAAGTCAGGAATGCGAAATCGTTGCGACATCGACTTTGCATTGATTTGATTTCCAGATCACGTAGGCCAACTTACTTCTCATTTTAAAGTCTTAAACACAGTTCCCAATGTGGAATCTTCCTTTCTTAACGGCAAGGATAAAAATGGCAGATTTTCTGGTCTAAAATATTTTTCCACCGAGTATCACTCTCGTTATTTGTTTGTTACTCTGACGAAGCAACCATTGAGTACGAATGCAGGCTTAGTAATTGTACAATCGATTAACGATATTCATGTACCTGATTGAACATAAGAAAGGCAAAAAACTTTTTGCAGAATTCGACCAAATTTATGAAATTTATTTTATTACACAAGTTGTCCTTCAGAGAGACTGAAGTTAAAGTTCATAATTTTGTTGCTTCAGACTGATTCAGAAATGGGGAAATGCCTCACTACGAGAGTTAAATGAGTTTCGATGTTACACCTACTTTCGTGTTTGATGGCAACATGGTTCTTGATTATAGGTCAAGAGCCACTCTTTGATGAACTTGTGATTGGACCTCTTTTCCAGATGTGACTCTATCGCAGGCAACTGTGTATGCAGGTTATTTATCCGAATGAGGGACTGGAGTCAGGAGAATATTCTTTTAACATTAACTAGTGCACACCAATTAGCAGGTCAGCTGGCAGCTTGTCGATTTCCAGGTAAAACTGACTTCGTGGGGTGTCGATTTCCGACTTGCCGTAACGAATGGGTTTGATGCAACTGCGAGTGGTCGTATCGAGTTCCGAACTTGAGTGAGTTCGGAACTTCTTCCAGCCGAAACACAAGCGACGTCTGATCGTATCTGACATGAAGCAGAACAGCAGGCAGTTTGTGCCGCCTTGGAAGCTATCACCGAAGCCCTGAAACGTCTAACGATTAAATACGCTACAAAACACAGTACTTTAAGACTGTACGTGAAGGGTCCTTAAAACGCAGTTCTGCTCAGCTTCAATTTGATCAGCTATGTACAGCAAATATCGAATCGTTCCCCACATTCGCATGACCAGGAAAGCCAATGGAATCAGCAGTAACTTCATGTTAACTCTATTCACCAAGTTACTGGTTCTTCTTAGTGCCTTGTTGGACACCTTAAGCTGCTAAAACTTGAAACCTCATCGTATCCTTGTTAATCATAACAGTTTTGTTACCTGCTTGCCAAGATATCGACGAGAGAGCCAATATAAGGTCGGAATTACTGCATCCGCCGCCAACTCCCAAAGCTTTCCAGATATAAGCATCCACCAAATTGATTTTGAACGGTCGGCTCGTATCCAGCACCAACCTGCTGTTCCAGCCGCTTCTCCATTACCTTCAACATACGTTTTCGAAAAGAGGTATTTAAGAACTAAGCATATATATATATAAGAACGCTGATGCTAGAGAAAGGGGTCAACTGCAAGTCGGCAGAGGTCAAAGACAGACGAAAGACGCTTGGGTTGTAAAGGCAGAATGCGAGAAAAATTCTGCCGTTTTGGAGCATGCTGTGACCCATCATCACAACAT